TCACAATCAGTCTCACCCGAACACAGACACATAAAGCTTACCTCTCCCCTCTCCTCTCCTCATCCCAAATGACCCTTTGACCCAGCGTGAAAATGTGTCCCCACTAACAACAAACCCTTATATGATCTGTACAGGCACGATTATGAATCATTCGAAAACAATTGTTCGCCTTCGGACTTGTGTTCTGATGTTACAATGGGATTATTTCGGAATTTGAAACCTGTTCCCTTGGATGACTTCCTGCGATCAGCTATGTGATGATTATGATAGATGAATAAGGAACAGTTAACTAGTTGTGGTCTCGGGCAAAATTCTCCGCTATTTGTGTTCACTTTGGTGCATGTTATTACGTGACTTTTGTAGGCATTTATTACTAAATTCCAGGCACAAAATATTGTCATCGTAACACTACACGAGAATAGAACACTGAAAACTTACAAGATTTTCCTGTATTGTAAAATAAACTGAAACGAGCTGCGTGAAAATACTTGTATTGTGCCGAACCATGTTCTCAAACTCCTGCAAGAGGACAGTAAAGGTAATGCGTCAGGACTAAGTCTGATAAGATGGCCATTAACGAAATCGATAAACGGGCATTACGTTCAGCGTTGCGTGCGTGCGCGTGTGTGGATACGAAATCAACCGAATACGGTTTGTCAATCATTTGGATTTGGTGGTTTCCCAGAATCACCGCGACTGATCAACCGATGAATACCAACCTGCCATCTAATCTCTGATGGACAGTGCAAGACAGGTTTGCATGTTTTCATACATCGTACGCAGATATGTATTTATGCGGGAATGTTTGTATCGAGTGTGTACTGGTTTTTGTCTACACGATAAATCGCAATGGACATCAACTAGTCCCTTCTCACGTGTGTACATCGTTCCCCTCAATGGTAAGGTTTGTATCTCCTAAAATAGCTATATCTGGTATATACGTTGATGCCAGACATGAATTAGGATGGCAAACGTTTCGATCCCACAGTCCTTATCACGATGTTTATAATTCAGCCTATCTCGCTTGATTCATATCTCTCGTGTTGATCAGTCCGTCGGTCTTTTTCAAAGTCACAGACAAGATCCCTGTGGGATTAGTGTTATCGATATGATTATTTGAAATCAACCATGATAAACACGGCTTAATTTCATTAGCCGCCCAACCTTACTAGTCTATCCAAATATAAGTATACTCGGATACTTTGAGTGCCAAATGGAACTGAAGCAACAAGAACACAGTTAAATCAGGGTAGCTTTCTCCATTGTGTAGTTATTTGGATAGAATCTTCACGTAACAGTTCATAACTATGTCATACACAGAATAAGGTTTTAGCCTTTTGCGTTTGTATTTCGAATCTCCTAGCAAACTTATGGGTCTACGTTTTCCTCAGAAAAGATTATTGACCGAGGAAACGCCTGGCAAACCTGAACCTCCGATGTGTAGCACACACATGTTGATCAGTGCTTCAGATTAAATCTTGTCCTCACAAACTCGAAGTTTTATTCTCTCATATCCATTGTAGCGTCGTGATCATGAATTAAAGAATACATTTATGGGCCTCAAATCGTGTTTTAATTGCGAGTATGGGCATATTATGAATTTTTTGGACCCTTGTTGTGGCGACTAAAATATCATTCCATTTGTTTGCCCCTTTTCGCCGAGAGGAAACTAACTCATCAAAGCAACTCGGGTTTCATATTGCTGTCCTTCTGATAGGAAAACCTCCGTTTCCTGAGGATAGGTGAGACCTCACTTTCGATCTCAGAACATCTCTTTATGAAACCGTCTTCTTAGGCATCTGTTAGTGAAGTTCTACTTGTTAGTCTTCGCGTGAATAAAGTGTTCCTACAGAACCGGGAGGACTAAACCAATATCCTGGCCTACTCTCCTTCTATTGGACCACTAGCTTCAAAAAAACAGGTGTGCTATTTGGCGTTCCAGTCACAGAGGGCTTGGCTGCACAACAAAATACGTTGATCAATCAGGACTTGCTAATCGATCAACTGTGCACGGGATCCCTAAACAATGAGTTGTTTCATACGCAGCCTCACTGTCACACAACCGTTTTTGGTTAGTCGAAGTTTCCGTTTGTAAAGGCCCAGAAGCGAGCTCGAGAACTAACTACCGATTGAGGTTTTTATCAAAAAGTCCACTGTGGCATCATTTATTGACATAGTCTGAATCCAGGTAACAGAGAAATGCACTGTGATCATGATAAACCCCTGAAACAATAATGAGTTATTCACGGTCCCCAGTCCCAGCTCGATCAGCACTTGAAATAACCGATGGGATGTGTGTAGGTGATGATGACCGCCGAGATTAGTAGCCATAGCAATTAACCAAAATGAACAACACGTCCAAATTGTTCGCGTTCTATAGAACAAGCAAATCAGATAAAATACCTGCATAAGTTGGGGTATGACAACCGAGTGGTAGTGTTCCTTCATTGTATTGGTCATGTGCAGTTGTAGCACATAATCATTGTGACCGTTCAGGATATCTTTGATGGATTTTAGCTGGAGCGATTCCCGATTGACTTGATACAATTCACAGTATTCGGCATGTAGCTAAATGAATGGGAAAAAATATAGCAATATGATAGTGAGTGCTCTGAAGAGTGCATATTTCCTGTTCGAAGAATTCCAATTACAGAGGCACTTACAATGTTGAAAATTATTGCCAAAATCAAAATTAAAATCACCACAGTGATACCACAAATAATCGTCGTTCTGGAAAGTGACGTTCACAACAAAAATACAGTATTTATTATCGAGCAATAAATATAAACTTCACTTTTATTCACCCAACGAAATGATGGAACAGTTGGCCAGGGTTCGCTGTAACTCATGTGATACACTAAGTTAAACACACGGGAAGAGCAACACATCGATCAGGAGAAACAACCGCGGTCGGGCTGGCAGATATGTACTCCCTGATGAGCTCTCATGAAAGCAAAACAGTGAAATTGCTCTTTCTGAGTTAATGTTTGAATGGACAAAGTGAAAATTATGCGTGAATATGGAGTTTCAGTGATGGTCATTCACCACAACCAGCGCACCGATAACTGATGGTTGAGAATAAGAACTCAATTCGGTCGAGAACGTTCACTTAGCAGGGAGTGGTTGGATCCTGAAGATAGATCCAGTGGGGCTTTTTCTCAAAACTGACCTATTGTAAACAACGTCCACATATAGATTAGCCTGGTCAAAAACTGAAAGTATAACCTAAACAAACTTAAATTGGTAATCCTGTTCGCCCGAGGGTGGAAGGCGGGTGGTAACGTAAATGTGAGATGAGCTCGAAGTATACTTCCCGGTCTGTATTTTTCAGCCACTTCCTCAAATAATACAACTCATTATATCCTATAGATATATATACACGCATTGGGCGTCCCCAGCTCATGGATAACGGTTACAATTTTAACCATAAACATTGGGATTCCAATCTGAGCAGGGATATAGAATATTTCGCTCTCTTAAAGGAGTCAAAAATACAGATGGAACAGCTTTATCCGGAGTGATTAAATCGCCAACATGAGAAACATGAATAAAAATAACACAAATATTGTGCATTGGATGAATTTTTGATTAAGAACGAGGAATATGATATGACACGACTATCACACTCGCTGATTTATGCAGTATATGCACCAATAAATATATTCCTCTTTGAGGAAATTTTCACAGTCAGGTCTGTTTTAAATGTGCCCAGAAATTTTCCCATTAGGAACTGCCGACGTTTTAGCAAAAACAATTTGGTTTACCTGGACAAAAACCGTACCGGTTGAGTTGCTTTTGAGAGTGGAGGAAGGGGTCTGGAACATTCAATTTGCTGTCTACTGAGAGGAAAGTTAAAAACATGAATGGTTTACAGTTTGCAAGCAAATGTTTTGGTTTTATACCAGTTGACCCTCTCGATCAACGTCAACGCGCGCACACACACACACACAAACCTCGATTTGTTTTCAAGCAAACATTTTACCTTGTCTCTCCCTCTCTTTCTCCCTCGCTCAGGATGAAAACAACGCTAATGATGAACAACACACAACGGGATGAACGAATAAGTGAATACATTGAGATAATTTGTCTCTTTATATACATACGTATATATATATGTATATATGTATATATCCGTTGGCTTTTGAACAGGAAAAATGTGAATCTCCGCCCATATCTCAGGGAGTTGATTCGTCAACCATTTTGTCTAGTTATTCATATAACACAGTAGATTACCTTTAAAATTCGGCCTAGGTTTCTAGTCGTATTTTGTGTAGGGTAGGCGCACCTTGTTTAAAAACCTAACAAAGATTCATCACAATAATTATTTGAGTTTGAGCTATATAGAATCAACTCCCTGAGATGTAAATTTATTTGGCATTTTCTCTCGGGAGTGCAATAATGACTTGGGAAACAATTACTTAACAGGCGTACCCACCGAAACCGGTTGTGTGCTTTGTCCAGTCATTTATGGTTTCTGTATTCGTTCATAAGAATCTGTAACCACGGAAATTTCTAATCGCACCCTGAACAGTGTGAAACAAGTGGTATTTGTGTAATCACCGGAGATAGAAACTCTTAAAAGTTCATATGATATTATTCACGTGGTTATCATTAAAAAATTGATACCACAGAGTCAAACTCACTGCTGCCGTTATATCGGATGCTTCTTGAAGACTGCTATCGGCATTCCGACGAAATGTGTCCAGTCGGGAAACTTGTTGTCGTTTGTGTGATAGGATACACCTCAGCGGTTCAATGACTCGAACTCGAGTATCCTTCACCACTTTTTCTTCTAACTATTTTGGGGATGAGATGATGTAAGAAAGATGTAAACCCTCAATGTAAACAAGAAGCGGGAACCGAAATCCTCTAAAGAATTGTTTTCTATTTTTCACAACCATATCATCATATAATACTAAAAAAAATGAAATTGAAACAGTTCTCCAGTTTTAATTCACGAAATTTCAGACCTCACTTTGTGTGTAACCTCGTTCTTAAA